TGAACTAAGCCTTATTCATTCATTGATTTATCTATTTATTTATTCACTCATCTATTTATTTGTTTGTTTATTTGCAAAGTCCAGTATCTTGGAGCTACTGTAATATAATCATGCATGTTGGGTCCCCTAAATGGGGGACACAGAGGACCCTAAACCACACCTCACCAACCTGCTGCTTTTTCTTTTCCTCCTGGAAGTGCCAGATCCTGAGGACAGGATGAAATCCTGAATCCTGAGTCCTTAGGTACAGATAACATTAGCTAAAACTAAAATAATTAAATTCAATCAAGTTTCCAAATAGCTTCATGAAGGCAGCCAGACTCTTGCAAACAGGCTTGACAGAATTTCAAACCAAAACATCTGGTTTCCAATCCCATTCCTGTACTACCTATGAGACCTAGGCCAAGTTGAATCTTAGCCTCCTCCTCTGTCAAATGGATTCCCTGACCTCGAAGGTCCTTTTAGTTCTGATCCTATGATCCCTCTGGGCTTGTTTCCTCACATGTCAAATGGTGTGAGAGGTTGGCCTCGATGATATCTAGAACCCCTTCCAGTTTTAAATCTTGTTCCTTCCAAATTCTATAGGTCTAACAACCTCCCATTTTAAAGTGTACTTTGGAATTTTCAAACATTTTAAAGAAATCGTTCTATCTCCTTTTCCATTTTAATAAAAGAAAATAGAGAAAATAGTAGAGCAATTTAATTCTCCAATTTATTAGTAACCGTTTAGAGTCGCCCCCTTTCAGAGAAGCTAAGAGATCCTTACTTTTTGTCTATTTCCTGCACAAATGCAACGTGCAATGAAAGGCAGTGTCCTTTAGTTGAAATATGTCACATAGATCAAAATATGTTGTTGTTCAATTGCATTGACTCTTTGTGAGTCAAGGGTTTTCTTGGCAGAGATACTGGAGTGGCTTGCCATATCCTTCTCCAGCTTATTTTACCTATGAGGAAACTGAGGTTAAGTGACTTGCCCAGGGTCATACAGCTACTAAATGTCTGAGGCCAAATTTGAACTCACAAAGATTATTCTTCCTAATTCCAAGTCTAATGTTCTATTCAATTCACCACCATTAATCTTCAAAAAGTGTAATCTGGAGTGTGTGTGTGATTGCAGAGCAGAACTGGAGTCTAGAAAACCAGGATTAGATCTGACCTCAGAGATTCAGTAGCTGTGTGATTATGAGGAAATTACTTAACTTCTCTGAGCCTCAGTTACCTCATCTGTAAAATTAAGGGGGGGAAACTTCACAGGTTTGTTGTGAAAACGAAATGAGAGAATTTGTGTGAAGGGCTTTTCGAGCCTCAAAGGGGTGTATAAGTGCATGGCAGCTATTATTATTATTATTAAGGTAAAAAAAAAAGACACAATCCAGTCCAATCCAACTATCATTTATTAAATACCTATTATGAGCAAGGATGCTAGGACTATAGAAATTTATAAAGCAACCAACCAAGCTGACCTCATAGAACTTACACCCAGTTTGGGACCGCTCTCCGTCTTAAAAGTAAGGAAATGCTGGCGCGCTCTGATAAAAATAGTTAGAACCTTGTGGTATCTGAACATCGGAAGAGTTCATCCAAACTTTGCCTTTTCAGTAGGCACTATCGCCTTTGCGCCACCAGCATTCTGGGAGTTGTAGTAGTGTGCGCAGGAGCTCAGCCTGCTTCGCCAAATTCTGACTCTGCCAGGGTGGCCGGAGCGCCAACAGGTGTGTGGTGGCGACGAGGGTGCGCAGCCTGGCTCTGCTCGGGTTTCTGCTGTTGTGAAAAAGAGATTCCCATTTGAGCACCTCGATAAAAAGATTCTCCCAACTGGTTAACCTTAAGTGACTGTGCCTGGCTTTGTAGCTGGCTGGCAGCGTAACCCAGGGGCTTCGTCTCCTCTTCCCCAGTGGCTGTTGGAATCCCCAGCTTTTTTCCCATGGTCTCCAACCCACCCAAAGAGTCAAACATCGCAGGCCTGCCCTGCTGGGTTCCTGGGGTTGGGAGACGCAACGCGTTTACTTGTGCTCCCCCAGACTGCAAAGTGCACCTCAGTTACAAGCTCTTCGAGGTCCCAGGGGGAGCTTGGCCACCGTCACGGTCTCAGAGGCATCTGTCGCGGTATGGAAGAGCAGAGACGAAGGCGGCGGGGTTAGACGCTAGGTAGGAGAGGGGACGGCGTGCAGCCAACGTCCGCTGATCGCTGCTCCAGATCTTTCCAGGAGCGCATTTGGAGGAAAGGCCAAGTTAGAGCGCGATGGGACGGGCCAGGGGAGCGCTTGGCTCGGAAAACTGGGGCGGGGAGAGGCTTGGAGGTGAAGTGAAAGCTCTTGTCAGCTGTGAAGGGGGTCAGTGGAACCCCGGACCGCCGAGGCCGTCTGACCCTTCAGGGAACGTGGAGAACAGAGGAAGCCGCGGACAAAGTTGGTCCAGTGGAAGCTAGGCAAGGCTGGGACGCTCGGCCGCTCTTGGGACTGCAGTTTCGGGAGAAGCACAGCTCTTCTCACCTCCAGACAAACAGGTGTCCAGGAGGTGAAGGGTGAGCCGGCTAGGGCTGGCATCTGCTTGCTGCCGCGCGTCGAGGAAGTTTTGGCCTTGCCAAAGAGGGCGCAAAGGAGGCATGTGAGGGGATGGGGGAGAGAGAGGACAGCTAGCTAGAGGGTGAAGGGGCATTCTCACCCATTCCAGGGGGGCGCCACTCCAGATCTCCGACAGACAGCCGCACACATCACCTTGGAGTCCTGATCTCCCGGCTACACCCGGCACGGGGCGGGAGGGAAGGGGAGGGAGGGGAGGAGGTACTAGTAACGTTCTGGCAGCTCAGGAAAGGGGCGGAGGCGGTAAATGGTTGAGGTGGTAGTCATCCGAACGTGATTGCCCAGGGCCCCTCCTGCAGCCACTGGGGAGGTGTTTTTTTTGGGGGGGGGGGAAGCGGAGAGCCATAAAAGCCCTGGCGTGGCACAGCTCCGACCCAGAGCTGGGAACTCACTCTCCGGCTGAGAAGAGGAGCAGAGAAGCATCATCTCCTTACTTAGACAGGACCACCACCCACCGTAAGTCTAACCTCCCCACCCCGGCTTACCTGCCCGCTGGCTCTCTCTGTCAGCCCTCCGGGGAACAGGAGAGCAGAGAGCAGAGCGGCTGAACTTTGGAGGGACGATTCCTCGGAGCTGCTTCTTTCTCTCTAGACTTCCAAGTCTTGGTTGTCCGAGTGGCTTCTTTGCTTTGCGTCCCCCTCTCCCCGTCCCCTCCCCCCTTCCTCATCTAGTATGAGGTTCCAGCTCTATCCAGGACACCTCTGTCCCGTCTGGGAATTTCCTACCATAGAGCCAATTTTATGAGCACAGAAAGGTCAAAGTGAGATTTCAAGGGTGGCGTGTGTGCGTGCGTGCGTGTGTGTGTGTGTGTGTGTGTGTGTGTGTGTGTGTGTAGGGGGGGTGCTCCCCTTCTTCACCCAAGTTTCCGTGTCAGGGTCCTGCTTGACCTACAAGGCTCACCCTAGGAGTTTTCTTTCCACTTCTTGGTGGGGAGGGAGAAATCTGAACCACCGTGCAAAGGGCGGTCTGTCCCGATTCCCCCCCTAAAAAATTCAAGAGGCACTGATTAGGCGCCCACTGTGTGCAAAACATGCTTAGTGGGTGTCTGGGCTGAAAGGTGTCAAGAGGGAGGTGTTTTTGCGCTGGGGGTTTCCCATGATTACCTTTTCTACTTTCCATTTGGGGAGAAATTACAGTTTAGAGGGTGAGATGGAGACCAGTGAGGAGCCCCTCGCCTTACCATGGTCCTTGTAGCCCGACTCTTCCTAGACGTGGACAGTCTGAACTGCGCATGTGAGGGGCCCGGGGCTGGGTCCCTGCGTCTCGAGCCCGCTTGCTCCCAGCACAGCCAGCTGTCCGCCTCAGATGCTGAACTCCCTCCTTCGCTCCTCTCAGCAAACATAGCGGGTGGGGAGTGGAGCAGATGCATCTCGGCAGAAGCTTCGTGCAGGGCCAGGGAGTTGCGCTGGCTCGGAAGAGCCGGGGCGAGCCAGCCCGAGATAGCCTGACCCTCAGCAGAAAAAGTTTCCAGTGGAGTGAAAAGAGTGTTCGATCTGGACTCAGAGGATCCAGTCTCGAATATTGGCCCTGCTGCTTCCTAACGTGCATGCCGCCGCTGACACATCCTGGCTAGGTGACCCTGAGCAAGTCACATAGGTTCTTCCCATTCCCGGGTAACTCACCAAAGCCAAACTGACTGGAAAGGTGCTGACCTGTTATTGGTAGAGGGAGTTCCTCACCCAGACCTCCCCACCTTGTTCAGTCGTTTAGTCAAAGTGTCTGACTCTTCGGGACCCCTGTGGACCATACCGTCCGTAGGCTTTTTGGTTTTTTGTTTTTGTTTTTGGCAAAGATACTGAGATGGCTTGCCATTTCCTTCTCCAGTGAATTAAGACAAACAGGTTAAGTGGCTTGCCCAGGGTCACACAGCTAGTGTTTGAGGTCACATTTGAACTCAGGCCCACCCCTCCATCAACTGAGCCATCTAGCTACCTCCCCGCCTACTCTGGGCCAAACCACAACTTCCATCCCCCACCCCC